TAAATTTTACCCGATTCCGAGACGTGGGCTCGGGGCTCGGGTTTTGCTAATTTCGAGATTTTTGATATTTTTTGAATGTTTCGCTTGGGCTTTGTTCCCTTAGCATATTGTGACGTATTCATTATGATTTTGGATAGATTCGACGCGCGTGGAGGCCAAATCGAGGGGCAAAGGCATCGCGAGCTAGAGAATTAGCCAGTTCGAGGTGAGTAATGGTTGTAAATGATGTCCTGAGGGTTTGAAACCCCGAATTGCACATCGTAGTGCTATATTGAGGCAAGATACGCGCTGGATGATGAGCGTGAGGTTTTTCACTACTGGGGATTGTGACTTGGTCCATCCCGATTGATGACTTTACTGAATATTTGACTTAAATTCATTTGTTATCATCATGATTTGGGCTGATTGCCATATTTGGGCTTCGTGCCAACTATTTGAACCCTTCGGGGATTTTTATTATTGTTTCCTCACTACTTGACTTATTATTTGAACTCAGTCCTGTTGATATCTACTGTTTTACAAACTCAGCCACTCTTACTCTGATTTGAAACTTAAATGATATTTCTACATCATGTTTTGGGCTGAGAACTACTGTTTTACTAATGCCAAATGGGCTTATGATGATTTCTGGACTGAGTGAGGCCGAGGGCCATATGTGAGGATATGCTGAGTGATTTGAGGCCGAGGGCTTGAGATACTATTTATGCCATGCGGTGGCTTAAGTGATGTGAGGATATGCTGAGTGATGATGCCATGAGGTGGCTTGATATAACGCTTGGGCCGTAAGGGGCCCCTCCGGAGTCTTCACACCCATAGTGAGCGCGGGTACCCATGTGATTTGAAACAATGGTAACAATGACACTGTTTGATGCAATTTGGTCAGGTAACAATGGCTGACCATTATGCTGAGTGATCGTGAGGTAGCTCGAGGGGCTGATACTGTACTGAGAGTGAGCCCGAGGGGTTGATACTATGCTGAGCAGTTGATACTGTGCCCGAAGGGCGGATTTCTACTTCTTAATTACCTGTTTTACTTGTTTTAAAAGGGAATATCATTTGATTTCTTCACTGATTTACTGTTTTAAATGATTTTACTGCTTGATATGGAATTACTTTATGCCTTTACGTGTTTTCATTCTTTCAGCCATTATTTGTAATTATTACTCACTGAGTCGGAGTACTCACATTACTCCCTATACCATGTGTGCAGATTCAGGTATAGCAGAGTCCGCACCTGAGCGCTGATTCCTTCCAGGCTAGGCAGTGATTTGGAGTTACGAGGTAGTTGTTGACGTCTGCAGCCCTTTGTCTCTCTTATCCTCTATCATTTATGTTTTCTTCAGACTGTTGTATCGGATTCCATACTTTGTAGACCTATAGCAGATTCTATAGTAGCCTATGACTGTGACACCCCAGCTTGGGCTGTGTCGGGATTGTTCCTGCTATTATTATCGTTAAATTCCGCAACTTATTAGCATTATAATATATGTTATTACTGTTTATGATGATTAACTGTTTAAAAGAGGTGTTCCATTGTGGTCTGGCTGGGCTTGTCTTCACGAGAGGCGCCATCACGACCGGGTTCGGGGATTGGGTCGTGACAAGTTGGTATCCGAGCCTAGGTTACTTAGGTCTCATGAGTCATGAGTAGGTTTAGTCTCTCGCGGATCAGTACAGAGACGTCTGTATTTATCCTCGAGAGGCTGCAGAACCTTTAGGAAAAATTTCATATTCTTGAAACTCTTGTCGTGCGAACTTGTTGATCCGAGTACTAAACTTCTGATATTCCATTCTCTCACAGATGGTGAGGACGCGAGCTACCGGACGAGGTGGACGACCACCAGTCCCACCCACTAAGGCCACCAGAGGCCGTAGACGCGGTCGTGGACGTGGCAGGGGCAGAGCAGCGAGGGCAGCACCTGTTGATACATCAGCTGCCCCGGCTCCGGATCAGGCTCCCACTATGGATGCTCTAGCAGCACCAGTTCAGACACCAGTTGTGCCTATCGTGGTTCCGGGTCTTAAAGAGGCCTTGGCACAGATCTTATCAGTTTGCACTGGCCTGGCTCAGGCAATTTCAGCCACTATAGCAGCAGCTACTTCACACGCCGGGGGAGGCAATCAGACCCCCGCTGCTCGCACACCTGAGCAGGTAGTGCAGGGATTACAGACACCGGGGGCACCTCCAGCTCCGCCGATTGCACCAGCTCAGGAGTTTGTTGTGCCAGTCATGCCAGACGATGAGCAGCGTCATCTTGAGAGGTTTAGTAGACCCCAACCTTCATCATTCAGTAGTGCCGAGGGTGAGGATGCTCAGGGTTTTCTTGATAAGTGTCAGCGGATGCTTTGTACAATAGGGATTCTTGAGACTAGTGGTGTGACATTTACCACCTTTCAGTTTACTGGGGCTACCTTCACATGGTGGGAGGCGTATGAGAGGCGTAGGCCGGTTGGAATAGCGCCCCTTACTTGGCAGCAGTTCTCCACTCTCTTCTTGGAGAAGTATGTGCCGCAGTCCCATAGAGAGGAGTTGCGTAGACAGTTTGAGTGGTTGCGACAGGGGGATATGATTGTGTCACAGTATGAGTCGAGGTTTTCTGAATTGGCTCGTCATGCCATTTGGATGGTTCCGACAGATCGTGAGAGGATCAGGAGATTTGTTGATGGCCTTAACTATCACCTCTGTATTCTTATGACCCGAGAGAGGGTGTTGGGTGCTATATTCGAGGAGGTGGTCGATATTGCTCACGAGATTGAGACGGTTCGCCGTCAGGATCGAGAGGAGAGGGAGGCCAAGAAGCCTCGAGGATCTGGCAGTTATAGTGGTGCTTCTT